GCAGTTTTCCTTGACTCTAAAAGCTCAAAAATACTATAAACGGGGAGGGTATATTCTAGTATCATCGTATCTGGTTGACAAATTCATACATCAATTAGGCAGGGATCTTAAAAATGTGAACAAAAGAAGAAAAGAAAAGACAAAAAAAAAAATCACCCTAATACCGATACTGTGGCTGCTTTAGGTCATTTGTCAAAATAGTTACCAAACACTCTGAACTTAGCAAAGTAAGACTATTTTAATGACGGAAACATTGGAAGCAATCTAAATGCCCGTCAACAGGTGCATAAACAATATTCATACAGCTAATCAATCATTAGATCTGGGAAAAGCCAGGCAGTGATGGTACATGCATTTACTTTCAACATTCAAGAGGCAGAGGCAGGTAGAGCTCTGAGTTTGAGGCCAACTGAGTCTACATTGTGAGTTCCTGGGTAACCAGGGCTACACAGAGAAACCCTGTCTCAAAAAAAAAAAAATCAAAATCAATCTATAATGTATGCAAGTACCTTTGATATTAAAAAAAAAAAAGAATAGTTAAAGGTCATTGAAACTGAAGTGCAGTGTCTGGATCCTTCAATCCCAGCACTCAGGGTGGAGAAAATAATGAAGGCAGATCTCTGTGAGTTTGAGGCCAGCTTGATCTACATAGTCATTTCTACCCAGCCAGAGCTGTACAGAGTTATACAAAATAAAATTATTATTAATAAAATAAAGTAGCAACAAGAATAACCAAGCACTGTAGGTTCTGGAGGGAAACCACAGGAAGGGCCATGTAAGGGATGGAGCTGACCACATAATGAAAAAGAAAATCTTAAAAAATTATGAAAAATTTAAAAATGTTGTTATGTAGTGTGTATGGTATTAATTTAGTTTTTATTTTTTCAACACCATGACCAAAAAGTCAGTTGGGGAGGAAAGAATTTATTTGGCTTATGCTTCTATATTGCCATTAAGGAATTCTGAACAGCAACTCAATCAAGGCAGAATCCTGGAGGCAGACTGTTGCAGAGGCCATGGTGGGGTGCTGCTTGCTGGTTTGCTTCCCATGGTTTGTTCAGCCTGCTTTCTTATGGAACCTAGAACCACCAGCCCAGGAATGGAACCACCCACAATGGGCTGGGCCCTCACCCATTGATAATTAATTTTAAAAATGCTGTACAGCCAGATCTTTTAGAGGCATTTTCTCAATTAATGCTTTCTCCTTTCAGATAACTCTAGTTTGTATGTCAAGTTGGCATAAGACCAGCCAGCAAAGGTATGTATGTTCACGCGTGTCTGTAGGTGCATATGGAGAACAGAGGTTGATGCTGAATGTGCTCCTCTGTTGCTTTCCTTTATAGACATTGAGGTGCATTCTCTCTCTTGAACTTAGAATTCACTGATTCAGCCTCTAGATAGCCCAGGATTCTCTGTCTCTGTTTCCTTAGCATTGGGATTACATGTAGCTGCTATGCCTGCCTGGTCTCTGCTTAGATTCTGGGTATATGAATTCCAGTCCTTACACTTTCACTGCAAGTAAGTGCTTTACCCATCAAGCTATCTTTCCAGCCTATGGCAAGAATTTGAGAATTGGAAAGGATTTTAGAGATAAGATTATATAAGCTTCTTATTTTATAACTTACCATGGATTCTGTTTTGTCAAGTTTACTGCTGAGTTATTGAGAGAAGCCTGGCTTGAATCCATGCCTCTTGCGCTCTAACTTCCTTCTGTTTGAGGCTGGCCTCAAACTTGTGGCAGATCTCTTGCCCCAGCCTCTGGAGCTGCCAGCGTTACAGGTGTAAAGGCACCATGCCTGGCTCCTTCTGCTTCTCTTTGAACAGCAGAAACAGACAACACCCACTTGAGGACTACTGTATGCCGAGAGAGTGTATGCAATATCACACTATCTGATATCACACTACTTAATGTTAGTTCTTACCTGGTTGACCTTGGTGAGATAATCGACCTGTTCGGTGCCTCAGTTTTCTCATCTGTGAAGTTAACTCTCAGATTTGTTGTTGGGATTAAATGAATTTATTTATTTAAAGCAGGTAGCACTGCAACCTGAACCCTCAGTGTTATCTAGCACACAGTCTCCAGTCACTGGTATGACAAGGGTTAACTGGAGCCAGTGACTTTTGCCTACAGCTGTTTTTATTTGATCTGCATTTAAGAAGCAGAACCCAAGGCCAGGAGTGGTGGTGCCAATAATATCCCAGCTCTCAGGAAGAGAAGAGAATGCCATGAGGTTCAAGGCCAGCAAGACAATAGCACATCACACAGCATTTCTTTCTCAAGAATGAGGCCCAACAAACTTGCTCATAACAACCCAAAACCTTCATCCGAGCCAGTGCTTGTATCTTGACATTCCATAGGAAGTCCCAAGCTTAGGTCATCTTGAAAATTGGAAGGCTTGATGTCGTTAGGCTAAAATTCCCAGGTCCTAATGACAGCCTGGTTGTAACATGGTAGTTGGCCATGCACATAAACTTTCCTTTGGCTTGTATTTTCATACTTGACTAAAACAACCCCTTATTCTCAAGGAACTCATAATCCTTTAGGTGCTTCACACTGGCTGAATAGTCTGGTAGGGAAGAAAAGGACAGTGTTGTGGTGGGTGGGACACAAAAGCATATGAAATTGTGGAGATGCTGGTGGTGACATGAGTTGAAACAAGGAGGCGTTGCAAAAGAAAAGGAGAAAGAGGGGCTTGCAGAAAGAATGGAATGTGCAAAGAAATGGAGGGGGAACCAGTTCATGCCCTTAGCAACTGTAAAGAGAGCTTTTGTTTTTTTCCAAATTTTATCTGGAAGCAATAGACTGGATTGATAGACACAAAATAATAGAAGTCTCTAACTTGGATTTTTACCATGCAGAAAATGGACAGCTCTTGAAATGTTTTCTGTCATTAAATTACAAAGCTATCCCAGCACTCAGGGAGGCAGAGGCAGGTGAGTTTGAGGCCAGCCTAGTATTCAAAGCAAGTCCAGGACAGCCAGGATTGTTACACAGAGAAACCCTGTCTTTAAAAACAAACAAACAAACAAAAAACAAATACAAAAAATTTTAAACCTAACTTTAATGTAGTTGTGATTGGATGTTGTTATCACATGTGGTCAAGTGCCTTTGGATCTCATTTCTGAGAAAGAAATGCTGTGTGATGCACTGTTTTATGAAAAGAATATTTAAAATTTTATTTTAGATCTATTAATTTTATATAATTTAGTGTTTTGCCTGCATGTATATGTGTGAACCACTTGCATGCATGATGCCCACAGAGGTCAGAGAGCATTGGCTCCTTTGAAACTGGCGTTATGGATAGTTGTGCTGGGAACTGAACCCATGTCCATTGCAAGAATAAGTACTCTTAACCCCTGTTTCCAGCCCCTGACAACTTTCTTAGAGATTTATTATTATTATGTTTTTTTTTGAGACAGGGTTTCTTTGTGTAGCTTTGGCTGTCCTGCACTCGCTTTGTAGACCAGGCTGTCCTTGAACCCAGAGAGATTTGCCTCCCTCTGCTCCTGAGTGCTGGGATTAAATGTGTGCACCACCACACCCAGCTGCAAAATTTGTTTGTTTGTTTGTTTATATTATTTTAAAGTTTATGTATCAGTCTGTGTGTAGGCATGTGTATATGAGGCTTGATGAGGGTGCTGGGACCCAAACTCTGGTCCCCTGTGAAAGCAGAACTTTCTCTTAAGTGTTGAGCTATCTCTAGCTCATTTTATGAAATATCTTTCAATGGTAAATTACTCTTATAAATGGTATGATACAGTTTTTCACTTGTTTTTAAAGCAGCATCTCGGGTAGACAATCTGGCTTCAAATGTAGCTATTTTGTATTTGTGACCTTCCTAACTCCTCCTTCCAAGTGGAGATTACTCCACTCTTATCTTAAAATATAGTTTTAAGATTTGTCTGGAAGCTGGGTGGTGGTGGTGTGTAGGCATTTAGTCCCAGAACTTGGGAGGCAAAGACAGGCCGATCTCTATAAGTTTGAGGCCAGCCTGTTCTACACAGCGAGTTCCAGTACAGCCAAGGCTACACAGAAAACCCTGTCTCGAAAAACAAAACAAAACAAAACAAAACAAAACCAAAACCCAAAAAGTCTGGAAATGACATCCATGTTTACAAAATGGACATAATACATACTCCAATAACCTCAGGCTACTAAACTGAAAATTCAAGTCATCTAACCTACGCAATGAACTCACCAAGACAACTTGACATAAACTGAAAGCGGCCAGCTATTATGAGTTACAATCACCATGGCAGTTACTGAGTCCTACTTTTCTATATATCTTGTCCTTGAAAAAAAAATGACGTCTTTTTAAGTCAAACATGTACTTTTTTTTTTCAAACGTACTTTACATTGGAACCTGAAATTAAATCAATTGGTGGCATCTTCCATTTAAAAAATGCAAAAGTGCTGGATTTCAATATCAAGATAAAACTTCCTTCCTCTCTGTATTTTTGGCTGTAAAAATTTTAAGAAGAATTAAAATTTCTTTGTGAAATTAAAAAAAGTATGAATCATTTCTTACACATACAATTCAATTTAATAGTTTATTCGCGGCAATAAAGGCATTACTAATGTAGAAGAGAAGATTCTGCAGCTCTTCAGGCTCAAGTAGTATGCAAAGACTCTTTTCAGGCAAAGGACCTCTTCACATAGGCAGGCAGATCAGACAGCCACTTGGCGGGAAAAGAATAAGTACAGACCAAACCTGCACAATCTGTTTCTGTTTAGTTTATAAACTGCGTTCCAGAATGTCAGCTTTCCTGCCTTGTGGGACTTGAAGTCCGAAGTTAGAAGTGATTCAGGCAGCTGAATCTTAGAAGCCCACAGACCCTGAAGCGCTGAGGCCTAAGGACTACAACTCCCGACACACACCGGAAGACCCTGCTGTAATCACGAACAACCAATCGTACGCCTTTTAAGGCAAGCCACGCCCCCAGCTCCGGGCCAGCCTCGACCAATGGCAGAGCTCACAGCGCACAGCCTGCGGGTTAGGTTGTGAGGCCCCGGCCGGGGGTGGGGAGGAGTCGAGGGTTTCGGAACGGGCTCGGCGGCCGGGTGGGTCGGGGCGTTCGGCGCGCCCTTCACTGAAGCGGCAGTGGCCGGGCTGGGAGCAGGGAGTGGGAAGCGACGGCGCGGCTGGAAAATGCCGGTCCACTCCCGAGGGGACAAGAAGGAGACGAATCATCACGATGAGATGGAGGTGGACTACGCGGAGAACGAGGGGAGCAGCTCCGAAGACGAGGACACCGAGAGCTCGTCGGTCTCCGAGGATGGGGACAGCTCAGGTGCGCGACCCCGCGGGGCGGGGACGCCGGGTCCCCCGCGCCGGGCGCGCTACAGGCCGCGGGGCTCCCGCCGGGCGGCGCGTCCTGCTGCGAGCGCGGGGCGGGGAGACGGGGAAGGGGCGGGGACTGGCTCGGCCTCCGGGCCCGGGGCTGCGGGCGCCGCCGGCTCGGCTCCCGGTGGACGCGGCGAGCGCGGGCTGGTGGACCCCAGGCCGTTCTGTCCACCGTGGGGCCCGCCCTGGGGACGCCCGGCAGTGCCCCAGGGCTCCTGGCCCGGGAGTGGAACGCCCCGCTGGCTAGTCTGGAAGACCCGAAAATGTCCCTTTCCTTAAGCCGGCGACCTCTTCTCAGTCCCCGTCAGCCTCGCCGGCGTCTGTAGCCGTGTCAGCGTCTGTGCGGGCTGGGGATACATTTGCCCTGGTCGTTGGTGGGCTTGAAGCTCATTAACCTTCGCTTTTAGGTCAGCCCGTCGCTAGTGCTGTCATCAGTGCTCTCGAGGGGACTGACTTGGGAACTGTCCGGCTCATAGTAGGTCCCTAAAGTTTTCAAGCCCAACAAGGAACCAGCCTGAGCGATGATTTCGAATCTTTATCGGTTTTAATCTGGACAGTGTGGGCAGTGTTGACATTCCCAGAATCCTCGAGCGTTCATTATTTTGTAACTTTGGTCTGTTTCTGACCCCTTTACTTATATTTCATTTTTTTTTTTTAATGGGGGAGGTAGATTAACACCACAAATAAATTGTGTAAATCTTTAATAATGGTCATTAAAAACACGAATGGAACTCTGGGTTCCTGGACCCTTTTCGGTCTGACCATATGACAGAGACTGAGGATGGCTTCTTTGTCTCCTCCTGGTTTTGACCATGTAAGGGAAGCGTTGATAACAGGTTAATGACAGTCTGTTATCACTCCACACCTCGACCCAGGTTGGCTGTCAGAGTGCAGTCTGTGGAAGAAGGCAGTGTCAGTAAGTCAACCATCCAAAAGTAAAATGTAGGAGGTGAGCACGACCTCGAAATACATAGTTATCTTCTCCCAGTTGAGGAACAGTGTTTCCCTTACTCAACATACGAACTCATGGCAGTTGTGACAGCATGCGCAAGACCTGGGCAGGCTCAATCCAGTAAAAAGAAAAGAAAAGAAAAGAAAAACAAATCCCAGTATGGAGGGGTGGAGGTGGGCAGGGGAGCCATCACGGTTGTCCGAGAGTCAGTTTTCTTTAAAAGCATGACCCTTGGTAAGTCAGCCACACACCAGTGCAGGCTCCAACCCAAGAATAGTTAGGCAAAACAAATTGAACTCCATGGTTTAAAAAAAAAGAAAAAAAGAAAAAAAGAAAAAGTAGAGGACTTGAAGCAGAGGACTTGAAGTCGTGTGGTTAGGGAGATTGGGGTGGATCTGGAGGAGTTGGGGGAGGGAGAGTGAATGTGTCTAAAAAACTGCATGACATTTTCAAAGAGTTAATAAAAAAATCTAAAAACACTTGTAAGTTACTACTTGATTAAGTCATCAAATAAACGATTGAATGTAAGTAATGCTGTAGGAATTCAGAGACAGGGAAGGTACTTCCAGAACTGAGTGGCCAGCACGTTCATTTGAAGAAAATGGGACTGTCTAGTCTTGAAGGATTTGGGTTGGGATAGTTAAAGTGGAAAGTTCATATAGGAGAAGGAATGTAAGAAAAAGTGCAAAGGCCAGAGTTCAGCGCTTGTTGAAGAAGGAGAAAACTAGTTTGTTTGGGAGATCAACAAGCTTGAAAACGGCAGAGAATGCTGAACCTGTGAGAGATTTCAAAGGGAAAAACAGAATTGATGAGTACAAGTTTAGTAGTGAAGGTAAGAGGAAAGCTCTTACAGGGAGAGGGGTGGGTGGCGTCAACTAAGGGGAAAGAAAAGCGTGCAGTTGAAGAGAGAAGAGAAGGTGTGTTATGCATATTTTTGCTAAGTATGTGGTCTGTTATGGAAGGCTGTCCGCACCGACAGATGGAAATGTAGTGTTGGCTCTCGGTTAGGATGAGAAGACTAATTCTGAGGTCATCTGCCTAGTCAGGGACACTGGTGAGACTTTAAAATTAGCCAATTATTTAACACGGAGTAGGGATTATAAGTTACATTTATACTCTGAATATAGTTCTGAAAAGCTTATTTGGGGTGTGTGTGGGGATATAGAGGACAGGGTCGTGCTATGTACCCAGGAGCAAAGAAGTTCTATATTCAAGTTTTTTTTTTTTTTTTTTTTTTTTTTTAAGATTTTGCCTTTAATTGTACATATATGTATGTGTCTGTGTGTAGGTATGGGTATGTGAGTGAAGGTGCCCGTGGAGTCCAAAAGAGGGCATTGGATCTGGAGCTGGAGTTACAAGTGCTTGTGAGCCGCCTAGTGTGAGTGCTGGGGACCCAGCTTTGGTTCTCTGCAAGAACAGTATGCTCAGAGCCCTGAGCCATCATCTCCCCAGCATGTGGTTTTGGGTTTTAATGGGAGCCAGGATCTCATCAAATTGCATGGGTTATAATTCTCCCCTTCTAATATTTATGTTGTTAATATGCCTAATATTTCTGATTTTTAACATGTACAAAAAAAATCTCATCCTAGAAAATAATAATATAATTTACAAAGATCATAATAATAATCTTAACTAAAAGTCAATTTTAAGTGCAAGTAAATCATTTCACTGCATTTTGCAGTTTTACTTTTCCTACTATCATTTTTATTCTACTACATCTTGCAATTTACACATCCCAGTTCTTTCTGTCAAACTTCGGTCCCGAGCAGATGCTATGGGCACAGCAACTTTCTACAGAACTTGGAAGATAAGAAAATTTGAGGGACCAAGTGTTGTGTGTGCCATCATGTGTGCCAACCATGTCCCTCCTGCTCCCTGACAAACCCTGGGCCTTAAACAGCTTAGGCTCCTGAGTTATGTCTTCAGTCAAGGGACTGAGTTTTCAAGAGCAACAGAATAGGCTATTAAGAGGCACAAGTATTTTAAATTTGTTTTAGAAAATTATCATCATCTGTTTCCTTGCTATATGAAAATAACTATACATGCTGCAACTCTCTTTCTCATACTTTGACCTATTGTTGTTGTTTTCGAGACATGGTTTCTCTGTGTAGCCCTTGCTGTCCTGGAACTCTGCAGACCAGGCTGGCTTCAAACTCAAAAGATCCACTTACCTCTGCCTCCTAAGTGCTGTGATTAAAAGTGTGTGCCACCAGTGCCTGGCTATAGTTTGATATTTATTTCATGAAGATCAAGATGCAGATCAGTTTGTGCCTCTGATATTTTGATATGTTACCTATATACACTATAAAAACAGAAGATGTGAACATAGGACAGATCGGTAATTAATAGTTGCTGTCATTAAAAGTTGGCTTATCTTTTTCCTCATTTGCTCTCTGGTTGACTGACAATAATCTGGAGACGGGGAACAGTAAAAGGGTTAGTGGCAGGTCACGATTCGTTAAGATAAACGTAATGGGATTAGTTTGCTTTTTGTTGTTGACACAGTTTCACTCTATAGCCCTGGCTGGCCTGGAACTCCCTATGTAGACCAAGCTGGCCTCTAACTCAGATTTGCTTGCCTCTGCCTCCCAAGTGCTGAATCAAAGGCATGTACCACCATGCTGCCTAGCTATTAGTTGCTTTTTTGTGTGATGGCATAATCAGCTATGTGGCTCCTTCTCTTCCATCTTTATTTCATATTTTAATATTAAATCATGTGAATGTGTATGCTATGTTTGGAGGCAATGTTTGGGGCATCAAATCCCCCTGGAACTGCAGTTATAGGCAGTTGTGAGTCATGGCATGATTTCTGAGAACAGAATTTGAGTCCTCTGCAAGAGCAGTATTCACCCACAGCTGACATGTTATAGTTGTGAAGATAGAATTCCAAATGTGTTTTTTGAATAATATTGACATTTTAAAAATATAGTCTGAGTTCTCAAGAATTAGTATAAAATCAAAAGTGGGTTAATTACTTCATTGACTTCATTCTTCGTTCATAGCTTTTAAGGTCCTTAAAGATTGGAAAATGGATAAACATTAGAAACTCTAGAGGCTTCTGGATCTTTAATCTGACATTAAATTAATTCTACTGTAATAATTATTTTGGATAAGAGTGATTTATTTTTCTTTAAGGTTTAACACAGACCATGGATGTCCAATTTCATACTATAATATTTTTTCCCTATTTGAACTAACTTCAGATCTATTTGAAACAGTTTTATCTTTTTGTTTTTGTTTTTTCAGACAGGGTCTCATGTATCCCAGGCTGGCCTCAAACTTGCTTTGTGGCCTATAGTCATAGCTAGCCTTAAACTCCTAATCCCCTGCCTGACCCTCCCAAGCACTGGGATCAAAAGTGTGTGCCTCCAGGCCTGCCTTGAAGTTTTATCTTTGATGTTTCCCTTTTTGTTTTTTATTAACAGAAATGGATGATGAAGATTGTGAAAGGAGGAGGATGGAGTGTTTAGATGAAATGTCCAATCTGGAGAAGCAGTTCACAGATCTCAAGGATCAGTAAGTACTAACTTCAGAAGGCCGCTGTCACTGAGTGGCATCATCTTTACTAGTGTAGGAGCAGTTACACGGTCCCTGCTGCGCTCCCTTCTGCGCTCCCTTCTGTGCTTTATAGGGATGGGCTGATCTGCTGTGAAGGAGGCTTCAGTTGTTTACTCACTGGAGGTCTCTTTAACCGCGTTGGGCTCTGAGGCCGGGAAGTGTTTGGGCTGGAATGGAGTAGATGACTTGTACGTGGGTTTTGGTGATTCAAGTGTCTCCATTGCTGCACACTTGGTCCTAGTCTGGGTTAGTCCTTTCTTTGTTAAATAATCAGCTGAAGATTTTTCCCTCTGGGACTGGAGGTGGCACCTAGGGCATTGTATATAAGCAAGTGCACTGCCACTGAGCTGTATCCCCAGATCCTGCTTTTTACTTTTTCTTTTGAGACAGGGTTTTGCTAAGTTGCCAGCTAGCCTTAAACTCAGCTTATAGCTCAGGCAGGCCTTTGTACTTCTTCTAACCAGCCTCCAGTATATCTGGGTTTACAGCTCTGCCCCGCCAGGTCCAGCTGAGATATCCTTTTAAAAATTTTAAGAATAAAATAGAGTATTGTCCTCCAGTTTCCTATTTGGTAATTTGATTGAATACTGTATATGTATCTCTTTCACCTATGTCACTGATTTTACTTCTTGTATTAGCTCTGTAGGGCTAGAAGGCAGTCTTACCTCCACTTTACTTGGGGAAACTGATACCCAGAGAGGTTTGCTTATTCATTCCTGTAGTTTATCAGAAAGTGGTAAGTGAAGTCAGGCCTTTTTCCTTTAGTGTTATGTGTGGATTCCACTGTAGGCACTTTTCTCTGGAGGAACTGTTGCAGAGTGAGGAGCATGGGCTCTGAGTCACCTTTTCTTTTTGAATACATTGTTTAAAACTATTCTTGGTGTGTGTGTGTTTTGCATGCATGTATGTCTGTGTATCCCATGCATGTGGAAACCAAAAGAGGGCATTAGATTCCTTGGGACTGGAGTTACAGATATTGTGAGCGCCATGTGAGTGCTGGCAATCAGATCTCTTCAGACTGGAGTTGTAGGTGGTTGTTAGCCACCATGTGGTTGCTGGGACTTGGATCTGTGTCCTCTGGTATTTGTTTATTTTTGTGCACATATGTGAATATATATGTATGTGTAGTTGAACTTATGCCATGTGCTCCTGTCAGAGGAAAAGTGGCAGGAGTCAGTTCTCCCTTTTCACCATGTTGGTTCTGGGGATCAAACTCAGGTCATCAGTTTTGGTAGCAAATGCCTTTACCCACTGAGCTGTCTTACTGGTCCTAAGGTGTAGCCCAGGCTGCCCTGAAACTTGTAATCCCCCTGCTTCTGCCTTTTTAGCATATCCTACTAGAGTGTACCACCACAATTGACTTTTTTTTTTTTTGAGTTTATTACATGGTAGTCCAGACTGTGAAGACTTCTCACTATATTGTCCAAACTGGCCTCAAACTGGGGTCTTTTCTGCCTCCATTATCCAAATGCTGGGATTGCAGCAGGCTTGCGTGGTGCTTTGCTTAGCTTCATTTTTCATTTCTTTATCCAGTAACTCATTTTATTTTACTTTCATCATTTCTAGTTGAGTTGTATATACCACATTATGGACTCTGTGATCACCCCCCATAATTTCTTCTTTGTTTTTAAACACTAAATAGAAGCCATCCATAGTCACTCTCACTTGAAATCTTAGCAGTCAGGAAGTTGAGGACCATTGTGAGATGGAGACTAGCCTGCGCTATTTATTGAATTTTGACTAGCTTGGGTTATATAATGAGCCCACTCTCAAAATACCAGAAACAACAAATTAAATGGGTTTAATATGGTATTGTGCTTTTTCAGGTAAGATGGAGAACAGCGAGGGATTTACTTTGACAATAATATCATCTATACCCAAACTAGTAAAAGTTATTTCCTTGTTTTATTTTTGTTTTGTTTTGTTTTTAGGCTCAGTGTTTAAATAACCTTTTTCTTTTAGAATTTATTTATTGTTGTTCAATTAAAACAAATTGAGAGTGCCAAAGTAGTCATTTCAAGCTTTTTCTTTTACTTTTATTGTTTTGAGTTGGGTCTTGCTGTGTTGCCCAGTCCAGACCATCTTCCTGCCCCACTTCCTCCTCCAGTAGCTTTAGACAATAGGCTGAGGCCAGTGGGCCTGGAATTTAATTGATTTTTTTTTGTTGTGACTAAAGAGTGATACTGATTTAAACAAATCCTAGACTGGTATCTAATTTAATATTATGGAATGTATAAGTGTGTTTTCTGATTGCAGTCAAGGCAAGAATACATTTGATAGATTATTGGAACATGAGCTTTATTAGGGAGTGGCAAGTTGCTTCTCTTTTTGGAAATTTTTAATCAATGTCTTAATTTTTGCCTTGTTAAGGCTTTACAAAGAACGGTTGAGTCAGGTGGATGCAAAACTCCAAGAAGTCATAGCTGGAAAAGCACCAGAGTATTTGGAACCACTGGCAACTTTACAAGAAAATATGCAGATTCGCACAAAGGTAGCAGGTAGGATCGTGTGACATTTCGTGTACTTTGTGACACTTTGATTTTGTGGTGTTGTATGGGTGACTGTGTTGCAGATGGCATAGAGCCAGGTGTCTGCCACCCGCCCTGACTGCACAGACGGGGACATCGCTGGGCCAGCTGTGGCTTGGCATTGAGTATGCACACGTAGCTTGTCTGCTTGCCACTTCTGCAGGGCACATGCTCATGGTCGTGCTGCCTGCTTCATGTTACATTTCCTGGAAGAGTAGCACGTGGGCATCCGCCTGTTGGGAGCATGCTCACCACGACCTTCCGTGTTCTTGCAGCTTACACACTTAGTCTTCTTGGAAGCTTTGGACTCTGATGAGAATAGTTTGCACACAGTGGTTTTGATGGAGTAAAGTGTCTGTTTATTCCTTTGGTTATTTTTGAATGATGAAACCAGAGTTTATATTGTCTGTCTCTCTTTCTGTTAGGAGAAATCTGAGGAGAAAAGATTGTGTTTTTTATTTTGATCACTCTCTAGTGTGTGTGCTTAGGAGTATAAGGTAGGAACAAAAAGTAGCCCTGTGTTTCCTTCCTAGCTCAGGAACTCTTAATTTTTTCATCTTCTTTGATTCGTGTTTTGATTTTTTTTTTTTTTCTTTTAGGATAAAGTTAGAATCATTGTGACTTTCTTTCTGGGCATCTTATGAACTGTGCTGGGGACAGACTGTGGGACAGTACTGCTGATCGACTCTTTATTGCCAGCATACCCAGAATCATTGTGCTTGGTTGCAGGAATCTACAGAGAGCTCTGTTTAGAATCTGTGAAGAACAAGTATGAATGTGAAATCCAGGCTTCTCGCCAGCATTGTGAGGTACGTCATTCTGTTTAATGTTTACATAATTTGTGCTCTTCAAGACTTTTCTGAATGTAGAAGCTTAAAGAGTAAATAAAATAAGCAAAACGAAATCCAGTAGTACTTTAGATTACCACCTGGGGCGTTTAAGAACTTGTACAACCACTTTGGAAATCAATCTGGCGCTTTCTCGGACAATTAGGAATAGTGCTTCCTCAAGATCCAGCTATACCACTCCTGGGCATATATCCAAAATATGTTCAAGTATACAACAAGGACATTGTTCAACCGTGTTTGTAGAAACTTTATTAGTAATAACCAGAACCTGGAAACAACCCAGATGTCCCTCAGTTGAGGAATAGATACAGAAATTGTGGTACATTTACACAGTGGAATACTACTCAGCAATTAAAAACAAGGAAATCATGAAATTTGCAGGCAAATGGTGGGATCTAGAAAAGATCATCCTGAGTGAGGTATCCCAGAAGTGGAAAGACACACATGGTATGTATACTCACTTGTAAGTGGATATTAGACATATTATATAGGATAATCATACTAAAATCTGTACCACTAAAGAAGAAGAAGAAGATAGGCAAATGGGATAGACATCAGAAGATGGAGAAAACAGGAAACAGGACAGGAGCCTACCACAGAGGGCCTCTGAAAGACTCTACTCAGCAGGGTATCAAAGCAGATGCTGAGGTTCATAGCCGATCTTTGGGCAGAGTGCAGGGAATCTTGTGAAAGAAGGGGAGGATGGAAGGACTGGAGGGGACAGGAGCGCCACAAGGGGAGCAACAGAACCAAAAAATCTGGGCCCATGGGTCTTTTCTGAGACTGATACTCTAACCAAGAACCATGCATGGAGATAACCTAGAACCCCTGCACAGATGTAGCCCATGGCAGCTCAGTATCCAAGTGGGTTGCCTAGTAAGGGGAACAGGGACTGTCTCTGACATGAACTCAGTGGCTGGCTCTTTGATCATCTCCCCCTGAGGGAGGAGCAGCCTTACCAGGCCATGGAGGAAGATGATGCAGCCAGTTCTGATGAGACCTGGTAGGCTAGGGTCAGATAGAAGGGGAGGAGGACCTACCCTATCAGTGAACTTGGAGAGGGACATGGAAGATGAGGGAGGAAGGATGGGGTTGAGAGGGAATGTCGGGGAGGGAGGCTACAGCTGTGATACAAAGTGAATAAACTGTAATTAATATAAAAAAATTAAAATAAAAAAGAAGTGTAGTTCTACTGGAAGCTGCACTGGAAACAGGGCTCAAAGAAGCATAAGAAAGGGTGATAGCTTCAGAAGTTTTGCAGTGGTTACTTTTTCAAAGTTTATTTACATTTATGGAATTAGGAACTGATCCTAGAGCCCTGTGTAGAATTAGCAGCCAGCAAGTGCTGCACCACTTGCTGCAGCCAGTCTGTGACTGTGTCTTTAGAGAACTAGATGGTGATCGTGTCAGCACCAGTGGAACTATGGTATGATAGCACAGTATAAAACCTTAGGCTAAGAAGTGTATATGCCATGTGCAGATAGGACATTGGCGATAGAAGTAAGTTCTGGCTGCCTGCACGGATTCCACATGTTAGGGCAGGAGTTCTATGTGAAGAAAATATAGGTGCGTTTTCTTTATGTTGTATTTGTATTGAATAGTGGTTGCAAATAGCTTTTTATAAGATTTAGATATCTTAAAAGGCTGAGACATAGATAAGTGTGTGGACAAGTTCTAGAATGACCCCTAATTCTAACTTAAAAATGTTATTATTTTATGTGTATGTCTGTTTTTCCTGAATGTATGTGTGTGTCCCTGTGTGTGCCTGGTATCCTCGGAAACTGGAAGAAGTCATTGTATCCCCTAGAAGTCGAGTTACAGATGGTTGGGAGCTACCATCTGTAGCTGTACCATGTGGTGCTGAGGCTCTAACCTGGGACTTTTGCAAGACCAGCAAGTGCTCTTAACCATTGAGCCATTTCTTCAATCCCTAATCCTCCTTATTTTAATATACCATATATGAAAAGTATTAAAGGATGGACCCTATTGCTTGCTTCTTTCTTTCTTTCTTTCTTTCTTTCTTTCTTTCTTTCTTTCTTTCTTTCTTTCTCTCTCTCTTTTCTCTCTCTCTCTCTCTCTCTTTTTTTTGAGGCAGGATCAATATGTAGCCATACCTAGTCTGGAATTCAGACTGGCTGTGAATTCCCAGAGATTCATCTGCTACTGTCTCCAGGGTGCATGCTGGCACACCCAGACAACTACTGCCCCCCCCACCCCTTCTTGAGGCGGGCTTACTACATAGTGCAGGCTGGACTTGAATGCTCCATCCTCCTTACCTCTGCTCCCCAAACATAGTGATAAGAGGTGTGCTTCCATGCCGGGCACTTTGCAAATATATATATACACATATATCTGTATATATGTATATATATTAGATATTTCATTCCATTTGATAAGTGAAATCTATTTTCAAATGTCAGGATTATCTCTGAATGGTCAGTGTTAGGCTGCATGCTGGTGCTGGGTGCCTGTGTTAGTTTTCTTTTTGGAGTCCTTCCTCCGGCTTTCCTTTACTTCAAAATCTTTATCTACTTTTTGTGATGCTGCACATTGAATCAAGGGCCTTGTGGGCTAATATCTAAGAGCAGGGTTTTGTAAATTTGGAAGAAATATCACTGTTGCTGTATTTTTATTGAATTCTGTGTGGGAGTGTACAATGTTGATAAGTCCCATTACTGGTAATGTTACTTGGATCACTTGATTGAAATTGCAGCTTTCCCTAAGTAAACTTACTTTTCCTGTTCTGATAGATTTGTAGTTTGAGGAGAATTACTTAAAAACTGCAGGCATCCTGTTTTTCATAATAACTTTCCATTTATTTGTTTGTTTGTATTAATATGAAGTTACTGTTTTGTTGTGTTTGGTCATTAATATTTACTATTGCTATATCTTTTAGTAAAGCTGCAGTTAATCCTAAACAGCTGTGTAATCAAATCACCACATAGAGAGTAGGATTTATTTAGTTAACCTAGAACACAATGCTGGGCAATAGTTACTTCATCCTAAACCTCCAAGCCTGCATAGTTTCCTACCATTCAGATTCACCCATTATACTTGCTTTTAGTGATCTCTTAGGTCCAGTTCATTTCTCCACATTGTTCCAAGACCTCTTCTCCAGCTTCTTTTTTCCTAGTTTCTGCTCCTCTTTTCTCTCCTACTCCTTCTTCTCCTCCTGCTCCTCCCCCTCTCCCCTCTACTCCTTCCTCTCCTCTTACTCTTCCACCTCTCCCTCCTACTCCTTCCTGTCCTCCTCTTCCTTCCTCTCCTCCCACTGTGAACCAGGATGTCCCACCCTGTCCTCTCCATTGCTCAACATTGTGGCTGGTTGTTTTAATTGACAATTTAGAGAATAAATGGTGGCATGTTTGCACACACTTGAGATAGGTGATGCTTAGAATAAGTATCACAATGTAATGTCTGGATTGAAACCAGATAGTGGGGGAGAGAAATCAGCATTTGAATGAACAAGGGTAAGGTGTATAAATTCTAAAAGAACATTATACCAACACTGTTTCTTTAGTTTTTTGTTCTTGTTTTTGTTTTTTCCTTCAGGACAGGGTTTTTCTGTGTATCCCTGGCTATCCTGGAACACACTTTGTAGACCAGGCTGGCTTAAAACTTATTGAGATCTGCCTGCCTCTGCCTCCTGATTGCTGGGATGTGTCATTACATCTGGTTAATTTTTTTTCCTTGTCTATTACTTTCTGAGGGAAATTTGTTAAAATTTTTATATGTGTTAATGGATTAGTCAATCCTTGTCTTTCTTTCATTTCCCTTTCTTTCTTCCTTTTCTTCCTCTTCTATTTTTTTTTATTTCTTAAAATCATCTCTTATACTAGTGACTTTAAAATAGCAGTTGACGGCTCAGGTGATCTTGCCTTAGTCTCCCAGCTACCTGGGGCTGCAAGGGTGAGGCGCTATGACCAGCGGGGAAGCGCCTTTTCAACTAATCTTGTGAAGTGGTCAGTACAGTGTTGACTGTGTGCACCGTGTCTGAACAGATCTGCAGCGCTTGGCCCTCTTAGATGACTGCAACTGTGCCAGCTGCAGCCTTCCACTGTGCTGTTCCTGGCTTCTGAAGCCACTGTTCGTTCACTACTTCAGTGTGTCTTGTTTATGTAGACTCATGGACATGCTTTGTAGGATCTTTCTACTGTGTCTGACTTACTTCACATTACTTTGCATACGTCCTCCAGGCCATCCATGTTGTCAAAAATGACAAGATTTTCTTTTGTAAGGTTGAAAAGTATTACAATGCATATATACCTCATATTTAATTACCCCTTTAGTTGTCTAGGAATATTTAGGTTGTATAATCACAACAATATTGTCTGTTGTGAATAGTGCTACAACAAACAGTCTGTAAAGGAATATAAATATCCCGTTGACATCATGATTTCACTTTTTTTCTTTTAAATGAGTAATTTAAGATTGGAATTACAGTGGTGTATGGTATTTCTGGTTTTTGTTTTGTTTTATGTCTTGCTTGGTAAATATTTTAACATAGTTATATTTGTAGTCTGTTTTTTTTTTTCTTACTGTGTATCATGAGATGATTTTGAAGGTGTGATCCTCGTATCTCTGCCTTCTGAGTGCGGGGGTGCCTGCTCTCCTAAAAATAAACCAACTTTTAATTTGATAATTGAAAAAGTCTGTAAACTTATGCTGTATACACTAGGCACTGCTTTTAAACTCGACTTTTTTTGGAGTTCCTTAAGCCTGTACCTCCTTTTCAAACCCCCAACCCTAGGTAGGAGAGAAAGAGGGCTAGAAGGGAGGGGGGACAAGACCTCTTTAGACTTAGCTCTGGCTGGTTACGGCCATTGGGTTCTTTGGGGGAATACCAGTCTCAAGTGTCAGGATATCTAGCAGTCCAGTAACAGCAAATGGCAAACAGCAGCAGTGGAACAAACGAACCCCCTTCTTCTTCCTCCATCTGTGTCTTCGAAAACCTCTTTGGC